ATCTCCATCCCTTTAACCGAAACGCACCTTTGTATCTCCATCCCTTTAACCGAAACGCACCTTTGTATCTCCATCCCTTTAACCGAAACGCACCTTTGTTTGGCTCCTAAGGTGGACCTGGGTTTTCTCCGCCTGGTTACAGCTATCGGTCTGCAAGGAGCCATCTCCAAGGAGACCCAGCGTGGTTACTATGTCAAGTCTTACAAACTGGACCTGAGCTCCAACGGCGAGGACTGGGTCCCCCTGAGAGAGAACTCTAAGCCCAAGGTAAACGCTCCCGCTCCCCCCCCCCGGCTGTCACACTGGCCACTTAAGTGTCTCGAGGCCAGAACATTGTGGGTTCAGACCCTGGGAAGAGAGCTGAGCAGTGGACCTACCATTTGAGGTGGCATGTTTTAGTAAGCATTACATTTCTGTATTTTTAACTTTACAAGCCATTCCCAGTGGAACCTCAATTGTAAAAAAGAGGAAACACTTTTAAACAATGCTCATGGGAGTTTTACATACACAAAAAAAGAGGAGGCAAGACCAACCAATCAGATGTCTTGGTCCTGCCTCGTCTAGTTGCATGGGCCCACTTCCTCTACAATCTGATTGGTTATCTCTCCGAACTAATCATTTTTGCCCTCAGAACATTTATGTGTAAGTGAAACTCCCATAAGCTCAAACCATGAGAGTGGAGATCTGAAGGAGCCTGTAGCCCTAACCCTGAAAGCTTCAGACCATGATAGTGCCAACGTGAAGTAACATCCTCCCACCTTTCGCAGGTGTTCACTGGTAACTCCAACCCCACCGACGTGGTGAAGGCGACGCTGCCCAAACCCACGCTCACCCGTTTCATCCGCGTCCGGCCCGTCTCCTGGGAGCAGGGCGTCTCCATACGCTTCGAGGTGTACGGCTGCAAGCTCTCAGGTGGGTCCACGCTGCGTATGGGCCGACACTCCCACAGCGTTTGCACGTGGAGAGCAGGTAACATGCAATACACATAATTCACGTCGTTCACCCACCTTTAACCCCAGCTAATCACAAACGATGCAGCGCACCTGTCTCACTTTGATTGTCGTCATGTGTGCATCTGGGAACCTTCAAAGTTGTTATAAAGATAGCAAAACTTTAAATCATTGTAAAGACTGGGAACCTTTAAAGTCATTATAGAGAGCGGGAATCTCTAAAATGATTCCTCAAGCTTAACAGCAGAATCCTAACAGGATGCATTTTACCAGACGCTTCTCGTCTAACAAAAAACGATGACTTGAAGGAACATTCCTCGCTCTTGGGAGGTAGTTCGCTCTTGACTGAAATTAGTCCCCCTCCCCGAAACGAAGGCCCCCATCTCTGAAAATCTGAAATCCCATCCTGACGCCCCCAGGCGTCAGAGCTCCCCCTTCATTGCCGGCTCTCTGGGCTCAGACTCGCCTGCAAAAAGACAGAAGGAGCGAAGTCAGCCAAGCCTCAAATGGGCACGACGCGGGGAAATGCGCAGGACGGCCGCCGACTCCTTAATGGATCCCCGAGTGTCATGGGGGGGGGGGGGGGGCTTCCGGGAGCGGCCAGACAATTATTGGACGAGGTTGGAACAACACTGCTGCCATTGTACCTTCAGGGCACAGACTGGATTTTGCATTAACGGAAAAGGCATGCTGATTCCCAGAAATCTGTCTGGCTCCCCCTCCCCTCCCCCGGAGAGCCGGGTAGGGTCAGCAACGTTAAGGATGAACTGGGGGGGGTGGGACGGCCCTGGAGCAGCCGGCGTGTCTGCGCTTGGTACTGGGCCTTGCTCCTGGAGCTCGGCACATTTGGTGTCCGTCCGCTGAATCTACCCAATGACTCATAGCCACACCCTCATTGCCAATACGCTTTGTCTGTCATCGCTTCTTACCTGCCGCCTGCGGTTGTCCTACATCCTTCCACCCGTCATCCACCCAGTAGTCCTTGTGGCTCAGTTTGTTGCATTTGCTTTACAACACATTTTCCAATTTTGCTCATTTCGTAAAACGGGAATGAGAAATAACAGTCAGCAGAGCCGCAGAGGGATATGGGCGTCAGCGTTCCGGATGCTTCCAGGGGGCCTTTACCTCGTTGTCATCTGAGATTTTACCAAAAATAGGATGCAAAATGTTTTCTTATATTAATTGTGGTCCCCAGAAAGAACCAGACTAACTGGTCAGCCGTAACCCTCTTCCCCAGACTAACCAGTTGGCCGTAACCCTCTTCACCAGACTAACCAGTTGGCCGTAACCCTCTTCACCAGAATACCCATGCTTCAATATGCTCGGCATGGTGTCCGGCGCCATCTCCGAGTCCCAGATCACGGTCTCCTCGCAAGTGGACCGCAGCTGGGTACCTGAAAACGCCCGCCTGCTGACGGGCCGTGCGGGCTGGACCGTGCCGGAGACCCAGAACCTGAAGAACGAGTGGCTGCAGGTGGACCTGGGTCAGGAGCGACTGGTGAATGGCCTCATCACTCAGGGGGGCAAGTTGCGCGAGCACAGGGTCTTCATGCGCAAGTTCCGCCTGGCCTACAGCAGCACCGGCTCCAACTGGACTCTGGTGTTGGACAACGACACCAACAAGCCCAAGGTGAGCACAGAGGCTGCCGTCGGGGGCCTGATCCTAGATCTGTGTCTGTATGCTCAGCTCTGTGATCGTGTCACTCTGCCTGTATGCTCAGCTCTGTGATCGTGTCACTCTGCCTGTATG